ATGGACACTGTCAATTTTCTTGGAATCTCTATAGTGGGACAAAGTTCTGCTCGTGGAGATAACGGAATCTATGTAGCTAATATTATGAAAGGTGGGACAATGTTAAATAGGCAAATCACATGTTACACTTGTTCCTTTGGCTTCTAGAATGTATTGGTATGCTTTGGAATTTGATTTTCTAGTTGATCAATTAGCTAAGAAGCATCTACTGTTAAGAAGTTATTTCATTTTTCCTCAATCCATCATTGAGGGGCTTCTGTTTTCTGAAATTATGCTCTCTAGCATGTCAATATATATTTTTTCCATGAATTTATCTGTAACAAAAACTTTTTATAGGAGGTGCAGTTGCACTTGATGGCAGAATTAGTGCTGGAGATATGATCTTGCAAGTTAACGATATATCATTTGATAACTTCACAAATGACCAAGCAGTCGATGTTCTGCGGTAAGTAAGATATTATTTTCTACTGCTCAATCTATAGAAGTAACCATAGAAATATTGCAAGTAGACGATTTAGAGGTGGATCTCTGTGATGTTTTCAGAGACGCAGTGGCTAGGAAAGGTCCTATCAAGTTAACTGTTGCCAAGTGTTTTGACAGCGGACCGAAGAGCTGTTTCACGATTCCTAGAAATCATCGAGATGAGCCTGTCAGGCCAATTGATACGCAAGCATGGATTCAGCACACGAATGCTATGCGAGGAATGCCAAGCATTCTAGAAGGTTTGCCAATTTGAAGCGCACATCATGCTGTCCCAAGTTTTGGGGCGTTTAACGCAAATCCTAATATCACAATTAGAAAAGAAAGCGTATTTAATTTTAAAAATACGAAATTGTACTTGGTACATTTTGAACTAATCATTTTTAGCTTATCAATCAAAACACGTTCCACTATATACATTGAAGAGCATTTTGTTAGAGAGCATATTATTCTGTTTAGGCTCAGAAGGAGCGCCAACCCCTATACCGGGAGATTGGCCGCATGGAAGACCACCAAGTAGTTCAACCGTGACATCAACTGGCTCAAATGGACAGAACACGGTCGTGACTGGGCAACACATCCGGTTAGACATACATACTGACAAAAAGAAGGTTTGCTTTGAAGCTTATCTTTCAATGGTATCTGACAAGTTACTTCTTCTGACAGGTTGTTAAAGAAAACCGATCAATTGTTTTTTGTTTGAGGTCGTTGAGGTAATGGCAATGCCCAATTCTGGCCTAGATATAAAGAATAGAACGTGGCTGAAGATTCCAATTCCAATGTCGTTCTTGGGTAAGGGATCGCTGCGCTTATATGTTTATTTCTTAAACGTGCATGCTATCTATCTGCAGGAAAAGATCTTTTGGATTGGCTTTTGGCTCACGTTGACGGTTTGTTAGAACGAAAGGATGCACGGAAGTACGCGGCTGAGCTACTCAAACGAAAGCTTATTGCTCACGTAGTTAACAAGATTACCTTCACTGAACAATGCTACTATGTTCTTGGAGAGGAGTGCGCAGGTAGAATTTGCTTTACTCTGTTTATTTGCTGGAGTAGTCATTATATATTGTAGATTTCGCTCGCTATCGTGCCCATCCAGAAGACCTGGTTGCTCATCAGCAACTGGCCGCTGGCCAACAGCAGCGAATGCATTGGACTACGGTGCCAGGAGGCGCAGCGACTAAAGCGCCTGCATCGATGGTAAGCGACGCGCATGGACGGATGTACGTCATGGATATTTGAACTACATGTTGTCCTACCGTCTTGGTACCAACCCCCATCGTCCTGGTTGCTTTATTTTTTGCTTGCGCTTTAGCGCGATTTGCAACCGTCCATCAGCACTGCAGCTGCAATCTGCATCACGTGCACGTTACCACTTCACTTTGTGTCCTGTCTGTCAAATTCAAGTGATGTTGTGTTATGTATGTATACCTGGAGGGCAATCTAGCA